CATAAGAGGGTTTAGGCCTGGGAACACATACCGGGCACGACACTGTCGCTCTGACCTTGGGATGTCGTGTCGTTGTCTTGTGTTCAGGTATGACCGGAGCTTGTCACCCCCACGTTCCAGCAACAGCTCTGGATATGGCACGGGCAGCTCATCACGCTCGTTTACTGTTGACCAGCGCAGTGGACATGACTACCATGACCAGGCTAGACTACAGCAGTCTGACTACCATGGGGAACGGCAAGATTACCAGGTAAGTTGCAAGAAAAATTTTTTTGTTAAATTTGTCTAAGGTTTATATGTGGGATTATGTCTTTGATAGAGTAATATCTCTATATATGCTTTATGTGTGATGTTTTATCTGTGGATTGGTTAGATTTATAGGAGGACTAAAGGCAAAACCTAAAAGGTGAGTACCATAATTACTTTAAAATTGTATCAACCCATCAACAGAACAACAGTAACAACAACAGTAATACCAGCAACAACAATAGTAGCAGCAGCAACAACAACAACAATTTAAACAGTGATTACGATCGGACGGGTGACTATGATAGGACCCCAGACTATATGGGCACACTCTCCAGCACCAGTTCAGGTCATTCAAGTGACCGGTGGACAGAGCCTTTTGAGGAACCCCAGGACTCACCCCCTCCCCTCCCAGCCAGGTCAACTCAGGTCAGCTTAAATCTTGTTTGTTTTTTGCTCTTTTATTCTTTTTGTTGCGTTGTGTTTTTGTTTGGTGGAATTTGGTATGTAGTATGGAATGCTTTTTTTTTTCCTTCTAATGCTGTTGTTTTCTTTGATATTTCATACTCTTTTCTCTCTCTTATTTCTCTCACTTCCCTGCATGAATAATTGTGACCATTGATTTAGGATGTAGAAATACTAATGTAATAAGTTTGTCTTCCTTTGTGTGTGATTGTGTGTCTATGTGTTTGTATGTTTTCGTGCTTAAGCTTTGTAGTCCTTAACCAACAGAAAGCAGAATAGAAGTTACAGTTACAATTTGTAATATCAGTCTAGAGATACAAGCTAAAGTCAGGTATCTTGTCTGCAAATCAATGAAGGTTGACAGAGGAATTGGCTTATATTCAGTGAGAGCAAAAATTGGATAGTTTGCCTTTGAAATTTAGATGAGGATAAGACAGTAATGTTGGTAATCTTGATTTGAAAATCTTTATTGGTGTTAGTAGTGGTTTAGTTATTATTTTAAGAATCATTTAGACCATGTATAAAACTCAAATTCAAAACCTTAGAATGGAGGTGAATGTGTAAGGGAAGAACATAACAGTACAACAGACTCCCATTTTTTTTTTCTTTATTACAATGAATGATTAATCTCTGTGGCAGTGAATTATTAAATGACAATGATATCATCTGCCTGTTGAGTTTTTTTCTGTAGATTATTTTATATAATAATTATCTAATCATTAACATAATTTTAGAAAAGGGGAAGATTTCAGTCTGTATTAATTTTTTTACATGAAAAATGTCTGAGTTCTCGCTGTTTGGGGCACCCTAAGTGTGATGACTGAAATCTTCCCTTGGTTTTGATGGGCTTTGTCTAACCGACAGGGCGCCAAGCGTCGTGGTGACCTCTTCCACTCCTCGTTCCATAACCGAGGGATGCCTGCCAGTGCTCCTCACTCCTCGTCTCCATCCTCTTCCTCATCCCATCCCAATTATGCCTCCCCTCCCTCCCATCCAAGTTACCCTCCCTCTGGTACCCCATCAGCAGGTTATGCTCCCTCTCTCGGCCAGAGCTCCCTCACCCCTACTCCTATGCTAACCTCCTCCCCTTCCCCCACATCGCATTCCCACAATTCGGTGGGGATTTATGTGACCCCATACCACTCCTCTCACCTCAAGCCGGAGCTCGGCATGGGCGACTCAGCCAACTACGCCGTCCCTCCCCCACACCCACGTCCGCTGCACGTTTCACACGAGGAGGCTGCCCACGTAAGGATCAGGGTGATGCCCAAAGCCCCTCCCTTGGTACCCTTTAGGTGTAGCTACTGACATTGTTTCAATACTAATAAGTAGTGAAGCAGGGTACTGCATTAGGTTTAAGGAAATTTTAGATTTGAGTCAATTTTTCCTTTATTTCCAGAACATTCTTGTAAATGTAATTTAGTGAAAAAATACTGCAATAATTTGAAAAGTGGGAAAATCTTGTCAAGTGTTACACAATTTCTCTCATACATTTAACATAATAAGAAAATACTGTTTTCAGAAAACTCTTGATTCTAATCCCCAAAGTGCATGACAATGTCCTTAGCTCAACCTGGCCTTTACAGTTCCCAGGTTCTGGAGACTATGACAATGCCCCTCTTAAGCCTGTGGAAAGCCAGCGTGTGCGACAGAGTGCAGAGACCTCTGCATCTGTAACTCTCCAGTCATCTACAGTTTCACAGGGTCAAGTAAGTTTTGTTATACATAAGAGGATTAGATGTTTTTTTTAATTTTTTTTTTTAGCTGTGCTATAAGAATTTACGTCAATGTTATTAGTCAGTGAATTATATAGCGAGAATTCATGACCAAAATTTTATGAATTTGAATCATGTTATTTTGAATGTCATTTTTGTGCTTGCAGTGGTTAGGTATATCAGTAAAATGTGTCATGCATTTTTCTACCTCTGTTCTTTTAAGTTTTAGATATTGTGCTTTTTTTTTACATTTTATTTGCAATGGCTGAACTGAAGCTCAAGCAATCTCTAGATGCTGTGCCTTGTGATCATTGTTAGAAATGTGATAGACTTGCTTAAAGGTTATAAAATACTAAAGTTGTTAGTGCATTCATTGTAGGTGAATGAGTACATTGCATGGAGGAATGAACGCCTCAACAGTAATGTCCGTTCGAGTAGTCTTCCCGGGTACCCAGCTCGCATACCAGGCCAAGACGAGAATAATTCTTCCACAGAACGACTGCACCCAACTCGCAGCGAAGGTTGGTCTCCCTTGTATAGTCTTTAATTTTTTTTATTTGCTTGTCATGTCTGTTCAGACCTTCCATGTGCAACTAGCAGAGTGTATGAAAAACAGCATGAGAGATATTTTTCCTCCTTTTTATATACCAAGCATAATTTTTGTCAGATCTCATGGATAGTAAGACAAACAATTCCTATTCAGATGAGCTCTCAGGAAGCAGTGGCTCACCACATACTCGTCGGAGGATGAAGGGAGGTAACACAACACCCTCATCCACATCCTCCAGGAACCAGTCTCCGCGCACAGTCACCACTGAGGCTCGTCTCCGACAGGCAGCCACACCTAGGAAGAGCAGCCAGAGAAATTCAGCGAATTTAGGCTCTTCTAGTTTGCAGGAAGAGCTGTTCCGACTTATCAACCCGGATTATATCTCAGACACAGAATCACTGGCATCAAGGGAAGGTGCAGAAAGGCCCAGAGCATTCAGTGTCAGTCTGGGCACTGCTTCTACTGCAGGTCACAATGCTCAAGGCAGCAGAAGCAACAACAGCTCCCTGGACAGAGTGTCTGTTAAGTCAGGAGGAGGAAGTGTAAATGGAGAGAGAGCAAGCCCTGGTCAGTCCCTAAGTGGCAACCCTAGCAATCCCACCATACATACACAGGGCCCTTCACCTCCCCAGCCCCCAGGAGTCAACTACCGAGGCTTCCCAATGTCTCAGAGCATGCCTCAGCACCTTTCATCTGCTGCTCCTACCCCAACCCATGGACAGATCTCCCCTGATCCCAACCATAATGTCCCCTCACGGACAGAAGTGGCAGAGGTGGTAGTGCTAACAGCCAGACCAGCCACTGTCATATCCAATTCATCAGCCACGTCAAGTCCTGCTACAACCAGTGACCAGCGTGGGGACCTCAAGATTGGAGCTGGCCCTCCAGATCCTCGTGGTCCCCCACACCCACATGTACCTGACCAAAGAACAGTACCTGCAAGAGACAGGTAGGGGCTGTGCATTCAGATCGTCTGTTGCTTAGATATCTTTTAGAACAGTGCATGTATGGTACAATGCTATTATAAGATTATATGTTTTTCCTTTTCTTTGAACATTAGTATTTTTTATTTATTTATTTATTTATTTTTTTTATTATTATTATTATTTTTTTTTAACTTAATTTCATGGTTTTGCTATTAGTAGTTTAAAAGAGGACTCTATCTACAGACCTTAGGAAGGTGAATATGCTTTTAGCTGTATTTTTTTTATTGTAAACACCTTAACAGATATGTGGCCAGCAGCAGTGCAGACCCCAGTCTCAAGAACCCACAGTGGGTGGATATGAGCCGGGAAGGGAAGGGTGCTCCTTCTGAGGCGGTGAGTGGAGAACAGGGTGGAGGCCTTGATGTGGACCAAGAGTGGATGAGCCTTGTCAACACAGCCACCCAGGCCATTCAGAAGAGTGGAGACATGATTGGGACAAATCAGGCTCGGCCACCTCATCCCTCACAGTCTCAGAACTGGCAGCTTCAATCTTCAATGAGGTGTGTTGGGTAGTGTTCAGTTTCTTTCTTCTTTCTTTCTTTCTTTCTCTCTTTCTTTCTGCCATTTTAGTTTGTTTCAGGGAAATTTATGTATTGGTTGCACTACACCTAAATATGTAAGTAAAGAACTTTATTTATAGGACAAATTTAAACTTAAACCAGTGCACATAAAGAGCTATTGTATTACCTCTAAGAACAAAGTTCACCACATTAAATATTCTCTTGCATTGTCAGATCCTTGGATGATGCTAGTACCCCTATGGATTCAGGCCATCTTCAGGACAGATTGGCGCAGCTAGAACGGCAGCTAGCAGCTGAGCAGCAGAGATCAGAGCAGCTAGAAGATGAAGTCTCGCAACTGCGAACAGAGAATCGTAAGCTGCAGGAGGACAGCCGTGCAGCAGCACAGCAGCTACACCAATTCACAGAGTGGTTTTTTAACACTATAGACAAGACTTGAAATATCAGTGGAAATTATGTTTTAAGTTCTTTGTTCAGCAAAAAAGAAAAAGATTGAATTTAAGTAGAACTTCCAATGTCAATTTGTGATTGTGAATTGGTGTTTTGTAGTATATACAAGAGGACAAGCATCATAGATTCCCATTTGAACATTTTAACAGAACACTTTCTGTATGTAACTTAATGGGAAAATAGATCTGCATGCTTTTTCTTGACAAATGGAAGCCCATGGACAGAGAAAATTCATAACTGTGTGATCTTACATGAGTGATATGTGACTGCTTGGAAATGTGGCAGCTACATGCAGTGTTGTGTGTGCCTTGTGCATTGTGTATTGATTAAGAAGTGAAGTGTGAAAATGAGAAATAATTGTTTTGGAACTTTTTGGCCCCAATACTTAATTTTTTATACATATATTTTTTCTCACTCACCTTTTTTACTAACTGAAAATGTATTAGGGAGCCAAATAGACACCTTCTAGTGTTTGCCGTCCGTGCCTCTGTCTTTGGCAAGACTACTTAAGAAATAGAACTTAACGGTTTAGTGCCTTGTGTTACCAAGCTGGTATTATCCTGTCATAGCCAAGTTCACCATCATCTCCAAGATCAGTGTAAAAATCTTTTTATTTTTCTTGACATTTTGGTTGGGGATGAGATGGAAGGCAAAGGAATGTGCCACTGCGTGTTCATAGGTTATGTGAAGGGAGTGTCTCATTGAGAATCACACATGCATTCACAGACATACACTTGTACGTATAGCTGTATACATAAACATACTTATCCTTATACAGATATTCATGTATATATAAAACCAAAGAGAATTTTTTTCCTGATTGTGAAATGATTTTCCATTTTCCTATTTTTTTCCACTTTCTCACTCTCTAGTTCCTTTTTATTGAGGGAAACCAAAAGTTAATTTTGGGAAAAGTAGAATGGGGGAAAGCAGTTTGCATAGTAAGTGTGGACGTCAGGCATGGGTTGAATACCGATGGGTTGAAAATCCTTACACCCAACATGTTTTTCCTGGACTTTTGTGTGTTCCATGGCCAAAGTATGCATTAATTTTGTTCTCACAGTTTACTCTCATTACTTATTCTTCTCTCTTTTTAGTATCAGTATGTTTTTTTGGCAATTGTAATATATATGTTCAGTTATTGTTCAGATCACTGTACAAGTGAGCAGCTTTGCAGGATATTTGTGAAGCCACTTTTTTCCATTGCATCATCATTTATGATGATTATTATCATTATTATTGTTCTTTTATTATTACCATCATGATCATCATCATGTCATCATTATCACAATGATGATTTGTTCACTTTTCCTCAGCCTGTGTTTCTGTATCAGTATTTGAATAATGTCTAGATTCAGTTTCGTAGAAAGGTTTCATGGAGGGAGTACCCCCATTCTGATGAAGTGACGTTGCTATACTAATGCAGAAAGGGACATTTTACCAAGCCATTTAAACGCTGTAGATCAGCTGCCATACGTGCATTGTAAACACTTAATCAAAAAACCAGTGAACCATACGTAGGGAATCCCACTTTTTTTTTCGTCTTTCTTCTTTTTTGAGGTGTGATAGTTACTGAGTGTTCTAAAAGGTATACTGAATAGAGCAAATAATATGTGTAATAGGGAAAGAGCCAATTTTTGGTTGTTACCTATGAAACAAGAGATTGGGATAGAAACTCCAGTTTTTCATGAAGGCAAAAGTAGAAAAAGATATGTGTGGCATAAAAATCTGGAAATGTTGATGGTGGTAAAATTAAAAGTAAAGACTTTGATGGCAGAAACTGTATATGTTGTCTGTATTATCAGTGACTTACCAGTGTTATTATTATTATTTTTAATATGCATTTTTTCTTTTGTTTTGTGTAATCATCACTATTTTTTGATATCCATATATATATATATACATACTCAGTATTGCTATTGCTTATTATTATTATTTTTTTTTTACAATTCACTTTATCCTGTGCCTTTGCTTTAATGCATGTCTCACCAGAATACCAAAGTGTGTAGCCAGCAGTACAAAATCCTTTCAGTATAATACTCGCCAAATTATATGGTTGAAATCCCTTTTTTTCCCCATTTTTCTTTTCTTTTTCTTTTTTGTTTTCAAGAGATCATGGAAGTGTTCCAAGTTTTTTTTTTTTTATTATTATTATTATCATCATTTTTATTATTATTAACCTATATAACTCATGATTGTACATTTGTGAATAGTTCAGTTGATAGAGGTCTTTAACATAATAAGTGTATGGTGGTAGTCTCATTACAACCATTAATACCGATAATAGTTTGTGACCATTATATAGCGATATTGTGAAGGAAAAGGACAGGTTTCCGTTGTTGTTTTTGATACGAGGGTAATTTCAAGATGAAAAGAAAATTGGCGAACATTTTTGTAGTTAAATAGTTGTGGAGAGAAGTTGGTGAGGTAGCTATTAGTTGCATTTTTGTAATATTTTTTATACTTCATTGTCTTTTTTCCCCCCATTTCTCACTGTCATTATTATTTTTTTCATTTCTCAGTGTATAAAAAGTCTAGATCAACACATCAGTCAATTCTTAAAGTAAAAGTTCAGTCCAAAAGAAAAGAAAAGAAAAAAAAAGGCTCAAGTAAGCCTTCTTCCAACTTTCTTCCCCCGTGCTTGGCCCTTCCAAATTCCTGTACTGTGCAGAAGACGGAGCAATGTTAAGAGCCCCTTGTTGCACTTTTAGCCTAGCATTTGTGAAATAGTAGTCTCCCCCACTTATAAGGCATCTAGAATCCAATCTTTTTCCTCTTCTATTCCATTTTTGCACTTTTCTGAGCACTGAATAGTAGTGCCTGCTATTATTTTCTTCCTTTCAGATCTCTCTAGATCTTATCTTGTACTTGCAGAGAATAAAAAATAGAAATGGACTGTTGAAACATTTCATATTTTGGGCATATATTGTACGTAGGTTTGATGAATCTACATATAACTTTACCTCAAGACAATCATTAAACATTATCATTGCATTGTTAGTACAGCTGACAGCTTGCACAAGGCTGAAGTAGTGTCTGGATCATAAGAAAGAAAACATTGTAGTGGTGTAATTAAATATGAAAGAGAGGAGAGTTAGAATTTTAAAGAGCAATAGAAATGTGCATATATTATACATACTTAACTGGATTTATTAACATTACCTAAATTGTTATTTGAAAGTTCATATTGACCAAAAAATTAATGTTCAGCGATGCAAGAAAAAACAAATTTGCCTTCAACTGGCTTTTTACCTTGTGCTTGCTGTTAGCTGAAAATTGCAAACACATAAGCATTCAAAATTGTAACATAGTGAATCATTGTTCATGTTGAAAACATTTTGCAAAGTTGCTAATTTCAAATGCACAGCACTTTGTAGAATATTTAATATCATGTAGGCACATAGTGCAAGTGCAACAGTACACATGTAACCCATGAAAGTTCTTTTACATGCATGCTGCCAAGTTGCACATTTCATTATTTAGTTCCTTTTTTATATGAAACAATTTTTCTTACTCCTTTTTTTTTTATTTTAATATCTACCACAGAACATTTATTAGCTAATGGAAAGTATTAAAGGACTAAAACCCAGAGAGCATCTAATGAAAGTGTGAAGCCATTGAAGATTTAGATTGTAAGATTGGGAAAGTGATTGTAAGATGCACAGACTGGCTGAAAAGGGACCATAACAGTGTATAGTGTATAATTACCAAATTATTTTTTACATCAAAGGACCTACAGTATGCCAATTAGCATATTACAGTGTGTATTTATCTTCCGAGTGCATTTTGACTTGTATATTTGAATAAATTTACATCAGTTAATAGCCTTTCTTGAGATAATACTGTAGGAACATGATCTCTTATAAAAAATGTACATTGTTCTTTTGAAGCAAAAATTATCAAATATGGTGGATGTAGGGAAGAATGAAAGAATTTATCCATTTGGGGATGAAAACGTCTTGCAGTCTGCACTGTCAGGCATGACAAACCTGTCCAAATTTGTTTTGTACATGCAAGAGAAATTGTGTAGATGCACCATAATTCGTAAGCTATGTGCCTTACATACAAATAGAATTTGTATTTTAAAATGTTTGTTATTATCCCCTAATTGCAAAGTTAATGTTTATCCTCTCTATCTATTTAAGATAGATACAAACCATAGTAATGTTTATGAATCCTTTAGTGTTCAATTCTTCCTTTTAAAACCCAACAATTGAATGGGATAAAACAATTAAATTTTCTTGGATGTTTTCCTCCTTTGAATTCTGCTTAAGGAATGGTTATAGTAAGCTAAAGTTTCCTTGTTTAGAATATTTCGAATTTTACTTATCTATTAAAAAATTTACAATATATAGCAATAAGGCAAGACTTGGGGGCAAAGCCCCCTGTTAATTAAAGGGCATACAGCATTATAATAATGTATTGTGCTGAAAGGGTAAAATTAGTTAATTAGGACAAAATATGTTAGATGTCAAAGGTCATCAAGTGCTGTAGGTTAGTATGGTAGTGAAATGGGTAAAGAGGAAATAGCAAATGGAGTAGAAAGGCTGATTAGGACTGACAAAGCCAGTCTCATTCTTTCAGCACAGCTCCCACACTTTGGGATGTGGAAAAGGCAATGAAGAAAAAGAGAACGAAAGGAGAAGAAAAGACCATGCAAAATAAGTCGAGGTGAGGGCCAAGGTTCAAGGTAGAGAGGATCACCTCCATTGGTCCACAGTCTCCGTCTCCTAAGCTCCCCATGAAGACAATAAGCATGTGATTGGGGGTGTATTAGTTTTAGAACAATTGCCTATCCTGTGCATTTTTTAACTTTTTCTTCATTGTGTGCAAGTTATATAGCTGGCTTCTATGTAAGATCAATGGATTGCTGCACTAAAGATGAACTAAAGAAAAACATGAAAAATGTATAAAATAAGTCAGGAAATAATGTAGATAAGATATATAACGTAACATTAAATGTTCATAGCTTCACAAAAAAAGATGTATACTTGCTATACTAGTTAGGTGTCAACATTACTGATTACATATTCAGTGGAGGTCTTAAAGGTAATGCCATGCCAGAAAAAATATTCTGACAAGCCACTTCACAACAGCAACTGTGATGTTACATATGCTTAGAAACAGTTTTCCATAATATAAAGGTTTTTATCCAATGAGTGATTTTGAGATGAGGTTCTTTCAGCCACCGTGTTCATAAGAAAGATATTAAATAATTGGACGAGTTAGACCAAAGAAATAGATGCATCATGACCTGTGGCAGATAGGGTGTTCACTACTACCTGGTTCAACTAGATCCTTATGGTAAAACACGAAACCAAATGGATTGCAGAGCCTATACACAGAAATGGAGATAGTACTGCAGTACTTTATTACCAGGTTTACAATAATTTCATCATAATAGATACGTTATTCTTAGAATGTCTGATGTTTGCAACAAGTAACTGTGCTAGACGTCAAAGGTCATATAGCACTATGGTAAAGTATTGTGTCAGAAAGGGTAGGAGTTAAAGATTAGCATAAAATGTGTTAGATGTCAAAGATTAGAGATCATTACAGGATAGTATGGTAGTGAAAAGGGAAAATAGGGGATTAAGTGAACTAGAGCAGAGATTAGTAGAAAGGGGAGGGTTAAGGGTAGGGCAACTGAGTGAATTACATTGTATATGTGACTGGGGAAGGTATAGGAACAATGTTCAAGAAAAACAGAGATGGCTGTTGAAAAAGTAGGGAAAAGAGGGAAGTAAATGAAGAAGAGCTGGGACTAGTAAAATGGGAAAGGTTAAGGGGGAGGTAGAGAGGGTGGGGTATGTTGGGAGGGTGTAGGGGTGTAGGGTACTAGAGGAGGATGAAGAATATCTGCAAATAACTTTAAAGGTAGTAGGAGAGAGTGGAGTGGAATGTTTAGGTTGCCTGGTGTGACAAATGAAGTGAGGAGGAGTAGGAGGTATCAGGGAAGAGATTTAGATTTAGACTGAAAAACAAATTTGACTGGGGGAGTAGGCATGGGATGGTTTAGGGTATAGATTCAAATCATTTGAGTTTCAAAGCAAGTATTATAAATCCTTCTATGTCATTGAGGAAAATTCTGACCATACTATACAAAGTTACACTATGAGATGTAGACTGGCTTCTGCTAAGTTTAAATAAGCACAGAAAAAAATAAACTTTTTTTTTTTTTTTCATGATTACCCTTTTTATTTTTCTTCTTGGAATATCATCAATCTACAAGTTAATACTAAACAGATTAACAAGTACTTTTTTCTGCCAAGATCAGTGTCCAATCAGTAAAGGGTATAATCAAATAAATATGATGTTAAAATCATAAGTATCCAACTCAAGCTATCTTTATTAACAATATACCATTACATAATATTTAATACCATTTATACAATGCATACACCTGATAACAGTTTGACAACCACAACTATCCATACATTATCTTCAAGATGGAAAGCACAAAACAATGACAATGTCCTTGCTTGGAATGTTTTTGTATATATATTTTTCATTTTTTTCAGTACCACTTGTTGGCCAGTGTCATTTCCCAGGAGTTGAGCTGTAGCTGCAGATGCTATTCACAGGAAAAATTTGGGGTACATACTTCTAAGCTACTTGCGAGGATACACAAGTTCCCCGGGAAATGTATCCCTAATACAAAACTTAGCTGTTCTTGTATCCCCAACAATGCTTAAAAAAAAAAAAAAAAAAAATAAAATTGAAATATCTAAGAATATGAAATAAAATAAAGCCTTGGGACTTTCGTCAACACTGACCAACCATAAATAGTCTGTACAAGAATCTGGGTAATAGATGATATGGCCCCTTCACCCTTGAGTGGGCAACCAGGATCCCTTGTGCTCCAATCATGGGGGTCGCTGCAAGTAGGAGCCGAGATGCACGACCTTGCTTACTACCATGCTAGTTCAAGTTACGACTATCACAACTAAGATAACAGCTAGGTGATGGTAGATGCCGTTTTCTAACATGAGCAAAGAAATAATACAGAGGAGGTTGTTGATCTTAGCTACTTAGAGAGCTTGTAGCATTGGAACATCATTGGATGCAAGCAAGTCATCATGACCTTGAACTCCAGACTTCTTGACGACCACCCAGGCGGGAAACTCAGCACAGCCAACACTGCAAGAACCGCCTTTAAGGTCTGTCCGTTTCCTCAGCCTTGGAGCAGGACATCCCCAGGTGTAGAAACAACGTCCTCAAATAATGCTAGTTTAAAAATCTGAAGGAAACATGTGGGCTTCCATGCACATCTCTTGCAGTCCTAGATGACTACAAAGTCCACAGGTTTCAATGGGAACGTAGTTCCTCACATGAGACATGCCCATCACTCCTTACAAGAAAGCTGCAGAGCCCTGGCATCCACATCAGACAATCCAAGAGAATCAGACCAGTGAATACCAGTAATATCTTGTTAGTTCCAACATCTACTCTTCAATATTGCATGGTCTTGCTAGGACTGATTCTCCTGGAAGACATCTGACCAGCACACCTTGGCCCCAACATGGAAGAAGTATCAGGAGACAATGCTATGTAAAGAAGCTATATTGGAGGACAAGAAGAGATAGGAGAAAGACAATTTACATTTATACAAAATTACATAATTTAGAACCACTGTCCAAGGAGGAACTTATGCAAGCCTCCTAGACAATATCCCTCACCTTGTTAAACTGCATCAAATTACGCAGTAATTAACTATTATGAACAATACTATAACAATTCTTTTAAAAGTAATAAAATTTTAAATAAAGTATAATCAAATAAGACAGATGTACATGTTCATGTAAATACACATTATATATATATAAATATATGCATGTGTAATATACACAATATATACAAATTTTTCACTAAAAACTCATATAAATTCTTTTAAGACCCTCTTATAATTTTGTATAAAACTACCTCACTAAAAAGAAAATGAATAAAAAAAATGATTAAATAAATTAAATAAGCAACAAAAAATGATGAAAATCAGTCGACCCAAAACGATGATGATATATGAGGGATGCTAAAGAGGGCCTTGGGGCTTTCTATGCTCTATGCTTAGCTGCTTGAGGTCTTGGTGTAGAGGTAGATGGCAACGATCAAACCGTACAGACCCAGTACCTGAGGGCACAGAAAGGGACTGTTATTCGTTTCTCCTTGTGGTTGAGATCCTAGGTAGAGACATAACATGCACGAACAAGTTCGGCAGTTTTCATTCTTTTTAATGTTATTTCCATAAGGACAAAATATAGCAGGGGGAGGGAGTAAAGTACAAACCACGAAAGATTGGGAAAAAATTGAGAAATGATACAAAACTGACACTTACCTCAGCGAAAATAAGGATGAGAATCATGCCGACGAAGAGGCGTGGCTGCTGTGCTGTTCCTCGCACACCCGCGTCACCAACAATACCAATGGCAAAACCAGCAGCTAATCCAGAGAGGCCGACAGAAAGACCAGCTCCCAAGTGTACAAAGCCCCTGCAGAAAGAATGAGTAATGAATAACAACCAATAAAAAATAATCAGACTCAGTTTCAGTAAAGAGAAAGAGGAAAGAAAACCAAGAAGAAAATTAAGGAGGAGGAGGAATGGGAAGTAGGGAGACAAAGAAGATATAAAATATAGATATATAGTACAGTTTAGTGAATGGCAGAATGTTTAGGATTCTGAAATAGCAATGAACATTGAAAAAATGTACTATTCTCTGCTAATTTCCACTTGTACTCTAGTGAAAAGTAAATGTTCATAGGATTCTTTGTACATTTACTTCACTGAAGAGGAAAAGGAATTTACTAACAGCAAGAGAAATAAGACATCAAAAAGCTTACAAGCAATTTTTCCCTGTATGTCATTTGATAATTGATGAATTGGTGGGGAAGGGGAAAAGAAAAAAAAAATGAAGGAAATGATAAAAGTTGTAGAGAGGGGAAAGAAAAGAGAAAAAAAGACTCAAATGTGAGATATTGAAGCAAGGCTAGAAATCCTAAATTTCACATACATATCAGCAATGTACTTTTTCATAAGAAATCTCTCCAAGGATACCATGCAGACATTCCACTGTCAGGATTTTAGACCTCCAGCTATCAGGTTTGTGGAATCCCTCATACTGGCTTTTTGAAATTTAAACAATATACAAATCTTAGAATGGAACACTACTGTAACTATACAAACTGTTTTATTAAAATTTCTATTTACAGAAAATTACAGGCATATAGATAAAGTATCAAGGAATAATTATTCGTCACATGAATGACAAATTCTGTCAGAGACCCAAAATTCTGAATAACCAGAGTTTAAATCGACTCCCAGCCAAAAATTTGATTTAAATAAGTAATAACTTACTGATAAAGAGTGTATCCCTTATCAGCAGCATCAAGCTTTCCAGCAATGAGCACAGCCACCACAAGACCGTAGATGGCAATGATACCCGCCATGACGACGGGAATGATACACTTCATGATGAGCTCTGGTCTCATCACGGACATAGCCGCAATGCCCACGCCAGACTTGGCTGTACCATAGGCTGCTCCCAAGGCTGGTGGAGAGAGAAAAGCATGTTAATGTGAAAGTATCCATATTTGGTTATCAGTTAACCGAAAAGGATTTTACTGCCATACAATGACTCCCTTGTCTTCAGTCCTATAACTGTGCTGAGTAGTATTTGCTGTGGGATTTTAGTCTTATTGACACTACTACTCATTTATATACATATATACATATATATAAATTGTATGTATATATATATATAAACACACACACATGTATAAACATATATTGTATGTATATATAAACACACACATATATATACTTGAATATCTACCGTGTTTCTCATATTTTCTGTCATTTATTCCATACAACAGGGCTGGCCCAATTTCTTAACTGAACAATTCTAAATACTAAAGTACTGCTCATGTAATGTTTCATAATCTGCATGAACATCATTGTTTTCTTAAGGCTCCCAAATATGCAAAACAAACTTTTAAAAAGGAAATAAGAATGAGTAAATGTACATCAATATACAAAACTATAAAAAAACGAATACTTTGATGATGTAAAAATT